ACAGTCATTGCATAAAATTTGATAGATTAGATTATTTTGCTTAATTGGATCTATCGGATCCTTAAGCTGACAAAGGTTATTTCTGAATGAGTTTGTAGGTTTAGATGTCACCCTAATTCCAACCATGCTGAGAATTGTGCGTAAATTTTCTGATATTCCCTCTTTATATAGTAACACAGTAGAAGCTTTGATCTTCTTTCTACGTGTTGTCGTTACTATTCAAATCATATTACCATCATTACTTCGTTCCGTATGTTTCCTTGCGAACTTCTCGGTGAACTCTAGATGATAATTATTAATTAGTAGTATTTCTTTTATATGCTTTAATTTCTGACTTAATTTCTTGCATTGAATAGTGAGTTTTCTAGCACTATTATTTAAACATTCGACTAAACCCGCCTCAACTAATATTGGAAGAGGCGACCTGAAGTCTAGGTACTCGTACGAATATGTTGGTTTCCTGTAGACGGTAGTATCTAAACCACCATTTTTTCTTAGTTTTACTTTGTTCATTTTCTACCTCGTAAGTGAATTGGATTGCACTTACTGCTGAGTTTTTATGCGTGAAGAATCTGTCGACATGTTCCGATTTCAATACATTGCGCCACCATATCTTAGATGTAGATGTAGAATCAAACGTTCGCAAAGCAAGATGCTTCCAAGCATCTATAAATATATCTGCTAAGATTAAGAATATTGCTGATCCCATTGCTACTTTATTTGTTGATATATTTTGTTGTGAAACTTGAAAACTGTAGATATCGGGCACAGGTGTACGTCTGACCTGATACCTTAGTTCTCTCAGTAAGTTCTGAGTCAATATTTAATGACATATTGATTAATATTTCAGCATAAAGGCTTGTTATATCGAAAGTGATCATTTTTTTAAACCCAGACTATTAAAGTCTAGGTTTCAACTCGTCCAGAATTTGAACGGTGTCTAGTGGGAATTAATATTGATGCCAATAGTTCGATAGTTCATATGTTGGTGTACTTCTGAAGACAACAATCAGTCTAACAAAGAAATGATTCACGAACTATTATTAAATTCTGCAAGGATTATTTGTCCCAGGCTTTAAATTAAACCATTTAGAACTACCCAGAAGTGGTTTCAGTCGGTCCACCTTGCCAGCTGTAGATTTCTTAATCTTATTCATGAATGTCTATGAGTCAGATGATCTCTTTACATAGTTCTGTTTGGCTATGTTCGTCAATGTTTTTCAAACTATATGATTTGTGCCTATCTGCACTTGAATTAACTTTATTCCATTTATCAATTACTATATTACTGTCATTTCGCAGGTTATTGTGCTGAATATTCTACTTTCGTTCTATTTAGTTTTTGTTCATTACTACTGTACATTGCGCTCTGACCTGTTCAGGCAGTTGAATCAACGCAGAACGTCGCCACAATTGCATCGGTTCAAGTTACTACACTTTATAAGAGTATACAAAGAAAGAGTGGATACAAAAACAGTGATATCAAAGCAGATAGAGGCTTATTGAAAGGAGGAGTTTAAAAATTAAAGTTAGTCAAAGCATCTAAACTCTAGGAAACGAAAAAGAGTGAATACATGAGCACCACTGTGATCAAGTTTTGGCCATTTCAGCAAGAGTCCTCAACCACTAATTCCTATCGTCTCGAGAACCAAAGCCAAGTAGTCTGCATCTCCCTACATCGTACACATCAAAAGTCCAGGAATTTATCGGCTGACGCCAATTCTCGTAGTGACCACCACAAACCATCTTCCAACATGATCCAACTGCTTCAGTAAAGTCCGCATACTCCAAGTCAACCAGATAACATACAGGGAGTAGACCAATCTTTGTGAAGTCAGACGTACTTGATGTCATGTCCATCACTACGTCCATAGAGAAGTTAAGTAGGAACAGTGACAGTGGACATCCCTGCCGGATACCAATAGTCGTAGTCAATTCACATGATAACTCTCCGTAAGCTCTTACATGGCTGTGTAAGGTCAAGTAGAGGGCTTCGATAAGCATCATATACTTCCTCGGTATTTCATTCTCACTGTAACAACACCTCATGGTCGACAGAGTGGAATGCCACCTTCAAGTCAAGAAATATAACAACTGCCGGTTGCCAGTGAGTATACTTGTGTTTTGGAACCTGTAGGAAATTGAGAATATGGTCAACACGCCCTCATCCAGATTTGCAACCATCTTCGTTTCCCCGAGTTCGCTGTTCTCGAGCTCCAGTTATGCGTCGAATAAATATGAACCCTAGGATCTTAGACACAATAACAATTCTTTTGTGGTCGCCACAGGCAGATTTCTATCCCTTCTTATTGACTAGGATGATCAGAGAATTAGACCAGTCTGATGGCACAATCTCGGATTCGCATACACCATCCAGTTACTCCGTCATTTTAACCAGTAATTTCCTATCTCCATTCAAGAAAATGTCGGGTGCTAAACTGTCAGATCCTGTTGCTTTGCATCGTTCCAGGTTCGGCACAACCTTCTCAGCTCCAACGAGAGTTGAAGGACCGACATCCATATCCCATTCAGATTCGGGCTGGATGTTGGGCAACTGAAGCGTCGACATGAGCCAGTTGAAATGTGCTTCAAAGCGTTCTGCTCGATGTTTTAGCCATTTGTTCTGAGTCATTATCAGCGTCCCATCCTATCCAGTGATGATTTCACTGGTCATCATCCTTTTCTTGTCGGTGTCCTTAACAAGCTTAATAGTTGGCGGGTGCTACCCACCGCCGGTGTCTTTTCCATCTCTCTCACCACCCACCACCACTGCTTGCGATCGTTGAGAAGACTTTCTGTCAACTTATGTTTAAGTTGCTTTCGCTCTTCACTGTGGTCAAAACCAGCTGGAATCAGTCTTTTCGCAGCAATCAGTTAGGATGACGTTGTGGAAGTCCAATAACTTTTGATTACCTTCGGGTATAGATTATCAACTGTCTTTACTGATACTTCCACAGCGCACTCAATATCACGCCAGGTTTTTTCGAGATGAGCATTGTTGTCACGATCAGAAAAATGTTAACTCCTTCGTAATATGTAGTTGACGTCCTAATCTTTCAACCGCCCATAGACAAGCTTTACTATCCCCCGACCTTTAAGACCAGTAAGAAACCCGTACCAGCGAATGATCGGAGTCCTAACACGCACTGCAGAAAAAAACAGTATTCCTTCAACGATGGCCTATAGTAAGATGATCTATGTGTCAATCGTTGATTTGAAGTCAATGGGCGCCATGTGAAGCATTTTCTCTCCTTATGCTTGGCCAGCAAAAATTGATTGTCAGGACATAATTGCAAAAAACGGTCACAGTCATCAGTTATTCGGTGTGAGATACTATAAATACCTCAAAATGCCTTTCCGATTGGCTTAGCTTTTCTGCTTGAGCGTCAAAGTTACCCACTATTATGATTATATCAGAACGTCTTTCTTATGTAGCGAAATTGACAGTGTCCCATAAAATTCATCCTTTGCACCATCCGAACTGCAGTTGGTGGGTGCGTACGGGGAGTTTATGAATAGGCATCGACTTGTCTCACGATCCTTCCTAGTTCGTATAGATCCATTCAGTCAAATAGCACATAAACAAATGTTGACTAGTATTCAGTCGAGGAGTGCACTTTCTGTTCTACAATTAAATGCTATGCCTACACAAGCGGAGTCCATGAAAGTCAACCACTGAATCATCGGATACTCATAAGGTGAATTTCGAAGACTCATAGCACCGGTTAGGTGGGGTCAACTCAATAACCACACTCGGGCCCTGTCTCAGAAACAGCACACACCCGTGGTTCGAGATTCCAGAGTTCTGGGGAGCGATGCTTGGTACCTGACTTGGCACAGAGCTCAGACGCTGAAAGCTCTAACATGAGATCGATGACGGGATCTTAAGAGACTAGGAATGGTGCTTCGATGGTTAAGATGGTCAGTAATGATAACAAAGTGAAAAGCTGAGAAAACTATAAGAAGCCTAATATTGATATCAGGAGGTGAAGGCAAATGAGTAGGCAAAGGTGAAGAGGATTTTAGATTGGGTCTGGTGTACTACTACTGGAAGCGTGCGGATGGTTGACACTTCACGGCTGCCTATACCGTGGAAGGTTATTTCTCCTCGAGGTACCTGAAAAGGAAGGGTCATTGCGTGAGTGCAGACCCCAGGCGACTTCAGTTTGAGAACTGTCACACATGGCATTTTTTAGATATTAGTTTGTATCTTTTGGATTCAACTGAGAATTCAGGTTGCCGGAACCAGCATGCCGTGGAGTAGTAGGAGTATGCTATTCTTACGACCGATCTTTCCTGTCCTCCCCCCCCCTCGTAGGGAAGGCAGCACTAGTGTCACATTGTTGGTCATCCGAATGAAATGCCTCACTGTCGTCACACTCCCGTCCAGCCATCATATTGTAGAAATTGACACTACAACGGTAGACGCTTTTCGCCTTCCCACCATCCACCCAACAGATCTTTCTGGTATAGTAGGACCTTGAAGAGAAAAATATTCCATCAGCATAGCACGTCAGGTCATTTTGATATGCAAGTCTGACCACAACGTCAAGGTAGAAGCTATCGGTAGGGTCACCAGTTGCCAAATCCACTGAGCCTAATGCCACTGTTACACTAAGTACAACTTCTTCGAATTCTAAATGGTTTACTGTCACGTTGGAGTCCTTCTTCACGTACTTTCGTTTTAGATGAGCTTAAGTCTGTGGAGGAGAGGCTGACCACCCACTTTGACAGAACAAAGTGAGTATGCAATAGACTCACTGACGAATAATCCGATCAAGTATTTCTAAAATTTGAGGATCAGTTACCTGATTAAGGTTACCATAAACAGTCTAGCTAGTAAACAGAATGTTGATCCGAGAGTATTTTTAACTCATTTTCACTGTTAGAAATGGTGGGAAACATAACACATACGATTACATATGAAAATGGGTGAATACAAGTTCCATTATCGCAGATAAATGATAAAACAAAAAAGATGACTAATTTACTTCACTTACTTGCAAAGTTAGATACCATACATAATGAGGTCCATCTAAATAAATAGTTGGTTTAGGGCAACTGGTATTACTAACATTCGCGTTTCTGTTACTCTGCTTAGTACAATAAGCAAGCAATGCACGCTGTTCAGGACTTTGTGCACTGATAAGTGAATCCGGTTTATCTGCATCACATGTCGATGATGATGATTTTCCAGGTATCTAATGAGAAACAGGAAGAATGTTAGTATTGGGAATCTCGGATATGGTTAACTGGGATGGGTATTCTAGTTGCTGAATGAAAAATATTTAAATTAACAACTCGCTGAGCTGACGCAAGAAGAATACAACACTGGACTGAAGAGAGTTTACTCTGGTCGAAAGTATGAAGAAACAAGCTTCGCAACCAGGGTAGCTCGCTGGGTCACTGTAACATGCTGTCCCGACCGACACTTCAAGATAACAGCTATCAGGCGGGATACATACTATAGCATAATCGGGGAACAAATAATTATTGTCAAAAGAGCAGTAGTCCTGCATAATCATACAACAACAACTGTTCGTAATTCAACTTATTTGCATTTTAAAGGGGTCACAGAAGCAAGGCACCAAGCGGTATATCGAATAGGCAAAAAGCTGAGGTCACCAGATCAAACCATGGTAGCACTTCATGTGAAATTGCTGTTCGTGAGTGGATATAACATACACTTGACTAACAGCTAAATGCATACATCAGATATTACAAACAAATAGTTCAAAACCTACTATAGTCGTGCAGAGGCATTTGTCTTCGTCTTTCTTTAAATAATGAACGTCATATTACTCTGTTATAATGCGTCTCTTATGAATTCACTTCTTTTATTTTTTCATTTTTCTCAGTTTGTAGATTTCCTGCTTTCATATCATTTGATAGTCTATTAACTCGAATTGCTACAATTTTATACAAGATTCTAAACTATGTCCGCTCATGACGGCAGTCATTACAATCTGGATAACCACCCACAGTATAATCGGTAATTTTTTTCTTAAAAACATTATCAAGCCAGTTGACATAGCAGACCAACTAACCTGTACAACAGTGAATTCTGTCATCCGATCAGGACAAATTCTTTCTGCAATTAAATAGCCCAGTTTGACTGGATCATGATCAAGATCATCGATGATACGTGGCTGAACAGGCCATGGATTACAATGTCGCAATTTAGGTATCCAATACATTATACGACGGTAGTGTTGCATAGCATGATTACGCCAACCGAAAATATTAATAATCATTTGACCAAATTCGTCGTCTGGAAGAACACCTAGATGTGTTACAAACAAAAGGGAGCAGATACCAAGTTAATAAGTAAACAAGTGAATAATGCATAGGAACCACATCAGTATTGAATATATGGTGAGAAAATAAACACAACTCAGCCCTAGTGTTGATATGTGGTATGACCGCCTTGTCATTTCATTCTCGCAGTTCAGGTCACCTATTGCAGTGTATGCGATTGATAGCTATACTGTGCCAGGACTAATGTGCTGGTCTCCACCTATCGGTTTGGTGCCTGTAAGATTTACATTACTTACCTAGACCTTATATATATATATATATATATATATATATATATATATATATATATATATATATATATATATATAAAGAGTGGTCCATGTAATATTGCAGATACCTGAAAAATTCTACTACCATTGGAATAAAACAAAGAAGAACTGCTGGACTACATAAGTTAAGTTTGAGAGTTGTGTGATTGCATTCGTTTTTAACTAAGACCAACCAATCACGTTTTCAGATGCTGAGTGAATTCTACCGATCATCTTGCAATGGGGATTCTAAGCTAGGAAATTCACCAACACGTTGCACTTTGGTAGATATGATTTGGTTGGACACTATCAGCAGAAAGCCCTACACTACCTAGGTTTGCTGCTTGTCGGCACTCACCAGTAAGGCGTATCTGCAACCGCCGGGAGACTGATGTCTCCAAAGAAATTCGAACTCGCACCACCCTGTGTTACAGCCAAAAACGTTACCATAGAGCTATTCCGACCGTAACTAACCTTTTTATAGGAATGGATAACGTATGACTACATTGATACAATTATTGACAAGATATTAGGCTCGATTCTTCATCTTGCAAATAATACCGAATCCATGTGTGCTATATAAATAAAAAACGATCAATTATAGAATTACACTCTACCACAGGTCGAGTTTTACCCTTAGACATACAGATAGACTAAATCAACCTAAAACTTGGCACGCAAGTGCATTCGTTCAAGTAGCCACAACCCACCGAAGTCTGAAAAGTGAAATTGACTGACTAACTGACAAAATCAACGTAGAAACCCTCACACAGATGCACCGGCTCAAATTGCCACACTTCAAAATAGTACACAAACGATAGGTGAATAGGAAATTAGTGATATCAAAGCAGATAAAGTAGTGAGAGAGAATAAACAATCTGAAGATAGAGGTTATTGTGAACATTCGAGCTTTATAACATATCGAAGAGTGAATACATGTTGCCTGCAGTCCTTAACCACAGATTCCTGTCTTCTGGGTAACCCAACCAAGCCCAACACAACTCAGACCAACAGTAAGAGACTTCATCGACTGGCACTATATAATAATCTGGCCACGCTGAACTCTCTTCCTACCTAATCCAACTTCTCCCAGCATTTCACGTCGGGGTACACGGTGGCTCGGCATGCTCAGTACATGTCCAAACCACCTCAGTCGATGAATGTTCACAACATCATCGACCGACTTTCCTGTCTTGCCTACTAGCCTTCAACCTGACCTGGACATTGTTAACACACTGATTCCTACAACTCCAAGCAATATTATGAAGACACCTGCGAACGATAACTTGTAATCTCTTCATTTCTTCTACTTTTAAAGACCAAGTGGTAAGGGAGTATACTTTTCTTGCAGTATTACTTCCGGAATACAATCAGAATCCACAATTTGTTTGTGTCTCGAATCACGATATTCCGTGATATAAAAGGTATTTATGCGATTCATGACATCCATCATACTTATTCATGTGTTCAAACAAATAACTGGTCATTTATTCAATGTTTATTACAATATACACTGATGATCTATCGGTGTCAAATGTTGGTTTGGTATCGGCGGAAGCCATCACTTGCAAAGGCCTAACTTCATCATATTTTTGAGCACATTGCAGAATTGCTAAAGCAAATTAGCTCCTGAACAAAATGAATTCTCCTAAATTGTTTGCCCATCTAGGAAAAAAGGAAAGAAGGAAGGTAAATGTTTAATTTTAAAACAACGCATTGAAATCTTTAGTTTGAAACTCACGATTAGCTACCATTCGATTCAGGATATCAATCATAGTACTTTGTTGCTTTGGAAAATGACCGAAATCGGCCTGCAGATAACTTTTGACAGTCATTCGTTCAACAGGAAATAATCGAACAATTGCTTTATAACACTCCAAATCATCGGCAACTTCATACTCAGGCATTTTTTTCAATCCATGCTGGATAAATGCATTGAAGCCTTTCCTAGCTGGTCCAGACCGATGGATGAACATCTCCAATATATGCTGTAAAATATATTTTAAAACACAAAGAAAATGAGAAGTTTTAGGAGTTAATTGATGTATGATTTCGACAAAAGCTACCCAAAAACTGTACGAAGCCTGATCCCGACAAATACCTAGGAGTTGCAGTTAAGTGGTGTAAACTTTGACAGTGATGTGTCTTCTGAGCTGGATGGTTTCGTTGTTGGTCCCAATAACATGATCAGAGAACTCCTGTAGCTACATTGTCATTAAGGAAGTCGGCTAATGCCAAACCAAGTCCTCACTAGATACAAGTTGTATCGATATAAATCGCATGGTATTTGAGATAAATCAGCCTTAATGTCTCTCATCTCATACTACGATGAAACAGTTATCTACTGCACCCAGATTTCAAATGGTTCTCCAACTGATGTTAGTCCGTGATGAATACCAACCTCAAATCAATCAATAAATCCCTGCAAACCTCCAAACTGAAATGTAAGATGGACTGGCTTGCAGTTACTCTAATTTGAGGAAGCAGAGTGCAGTGACAATAGAATGTATTGACCACTTCACTGAATTAGGAAATTATAGCCGAAACGGTGTGGTTGCTCAGGAAATCCCAGCTCGGATACAGAAGGCCCGTTAGGCATTTGTCAACGCGTCATCTCTAGCAACGTGGAGATACCCAACTGTCAATCAAACGCAGAGTATGCTGTGGTGAAATCCGTTTTATTTTGCTATATGGCTGTCAGACGGTCGTTAAAAGTAGAAATGAAGAGATCACAAGTTTTCGATCACAAGTGTCTTCATAGTATTGCTAGGATTTGTTGGAATCAGTGTGTTAACAATGTCCAGGTCAGGTTGAAGGCTAGTAGGCAAGACAGGAAAGTCGGTCGATGATGTTGTGAACATTCATCGACTGAGGTGGTTTGGACATGTACTGAGCATGCCGAGCCACCGTGTACCCCGACGTGAAATGCTGGGAGAAGTTGGATTACGTATGAAGAGGCACCAGTCCATGATGTCTCTGACTGTTGATCTGAGCCACGTATTGGTTGGGGTCCACGAGACAATATGAATCACTGGTTGAGGACTTTTAGTGAGATAGGTGAAAATTGGTCGCATTGGCGATGTATTCACTGTCTGAGGTTTTTTAAAGCCTGAATATTTGCACTTACCTTTGTCTGTAAATTGTTTATTCTTTCATATACCTTTGTCTTCTTTGATATCAGTATTTTTCTATCCATTTGTTCTTTTCAGGCTTCTGTGAGGTGTGACAACAAACAGATGCATTTGTGTACAACGTTCTACGTTGTGACTTTGCTAGTCATTCAGTCATTCTTATAAAAGAGCATACATTTGATATTTGTGTTGCAAGCAAGATCAATCGCGAAATCCTGAGGAAACCCAATGGAGTGGATCTGTTGCTCACTTGTCTAGGCACTTGATTTTCAACCCAGTCGACCTATCGAGGTCCGAGCAGCCATTACACAATTTCTTAACCATTAGACCACAGAGACTGGCTAAATAGTCACTTGCTATCATCACCAGGGATACGCACAAGCAGCCAACGATTGCCAATCAACAAAAAACACAACTCATTACACAACTTTAACCCCCATCCACACCGTCCAAACAACATACGTCTCATTCAACAAGTGTGCGCGCTTCCTACAGCAAACAGTATGAGACAAACATACACAATAAATCAACAAACAAATAACCAAAGCATCCTGAGTACTCATACGAGTTCAGCCATTACCTACTGTACAAACGTTCATTGTGCTCTTGATTAGTCATTTATCTTTCACTCACTATCTTCACCGAAAAGAACCTAATTCACAAGGACATTAATCAATATCTATATTAGTAATATGAATTTTGTCATAGAGATTCCGAAAAATACGATAACTCGCCTTATATGTATACTAAATTCATGTAACACTATTTCAAAGCAATGTGATAGCATTAACTTTTTGGAAATAATAAAAAGCTAGGTTATCAAAGACAAAAATTAGGGCCAAAATCATATAGTTGATCTTGCTCTTCTTCAATCCTATTTACGATATCACAGTTTTGACAAGATTATTGATCCTTCAATGTGAATCTTGATACCATGGCGTTGTGTGATGAAGATGTGCGCATATGAGTCAAATTGAATCGTAGATAAAATACAATGCACTTGAGTAACCACATGCACTTTTGTCAGTGCTAATGACAGTATCTGCCTGTCCAGAGTTTGGTGGGCAGAGAGGAGTTCAAACCCATAATCTGCCCGGTGCATACAGCACCCCCACACGTACCATGGTAGTCAATGTATGAAAAAAAATAATACTATCGTAATAGAAGAACCTCAATTAAAGCATCCAGCTCAGAGAATGCAACATGACTAAGCTCATCCATCCGATCTATCAATTTATACATTGTAATTAAGAAAAAACGGATACGATAGATACATACGTCATCATTTTTGTACATTGGAAGTTCACATTTAAACATTTAAAATAAAAAAACTTCATCTTTGGCTCTACTCTAATATACAGGTTCCAATTCAATCAAATAAAAATCAATTGGTGGGGGGGGGGGGGGGTGAGTCATGAAGATGATAAGTTTGAGAAACCAAGATGCAAATAATCAACACAGTAATCATACGGGATTAAAAATGGTAATTATAATAATGTGAAACAGGTTATTCCTAGGCAAATTGCATAGTAAGCGGTACAGTAAGTGAAACGTTATTTTTTGAATGGTCAGTCATAAATAATAAATAATTAGGTAAGAATAAGAAAGCTAATGAATACTGATGGCACAAAAGAAGGAAGAGGCGAACAAAGTAGTACTAAGAGTTACATCATGTTGACAGCCATGGTAATGCAAATGACTGAACAAATTTCCTTTGAATACAAACGTTAGGTTTGTAAAGGTGGATTACAAATTCCTTGCTCTATCTGTCTTTTTTTCTAAATGTTATCATTTTTCCCTATTCGTTACAGTATGTTAAATGAATTTATAATACTAGCTACATTTGAAATGTTTCCCAAAGACATCGAATTTATTCATGAAGTATGTTACTGCTATCAGTAATGTACGCAAAAATAATATCTTCTATGCTTTTTATTTAGTAACTAACATGACTGTCTACAGGAAACACTGCAACCGACACTATTGCTACTGATTTCTTTTATAATCAAGAACGACAGACACACATCGTTATTCATCTACAAACAAACTTTTTTCTATACATTGAATATCATAACAACTACTACCCATTCTAACGACGTCCCCTGGTGGGTGGCAATAAAATCAATAACACATGAGTTGTTTGAGATTCATTTACTATTCCCAGTACTTCTTCGTTCTGTTTGGTGAGTAAAACTCTGGTAAATGAACCATTTTTTTTTGAATATACACACTGGTAGGTATGACCTGAAGCTGATTATTGCTGATTGAAACACGGATCAGTTACGGTGATGCTTCACTACTCCTCTCACTTAACTGTGCATTAGATTATCAGGGAATCACATAAGAAACAAGACAGCAAAGTTTGGATACTGAAATGCAGTTAGTTCATCATTATTTCATCGTACTAAAGTTATGGATAGTAGGAAATTGTGTCTGAAAACATCTGGTTGTTATAATAGATCTAAGAAAGGTACAGGTGAAATTTAGTTGAGTATACTTTAACCAACTGCCGCATTTATTTTTCAAACACAATTTGCTTACGTTGCGTTATAGTATGCCTGATATATCTGATAAACAGATTCTTTTTTGAAGAATGACCTTTGCGATCAGCATAAACTAAATAGAAACGGAGGGTACACGCCTTTACTGGACACCATTCCTTGAAACACCACTTCTAAATGAGTAATTTTTGTAAACTGAACGGACTGTAAACAGTTTTTCTGTACATGGTATGAAAATAAACCCACCTATTTGACCAATGTAAATCAGAGAATGAAATCGAAGTTTGATAGGTAGTGTTCACGTATTCATGTGTATCTCATGCACATGACAGTTTCAATTAGAATGAGAGGGAAAAAGCACAGCATTCAGTTAATAGGAATACATATACATACAGGGTGAATGCATTGCAGATTCTAAAGTGATTTCCTTTATAGACTAACTGTATTGTTCCAGCCTTCTTTAGATTCCTACCGGGGAGAATCTAAAATACCCTCTAGACAAGAGAAACTTCTGAATAGATCCAGTCATGACCAGAATTATTTTCAAGACCAACAGTGAAACTTAGATCGATATATTGGAGAATGATGGTTCATTCAGTATTATTTATCAAAACTTTATATACGAAACCAAATGAATGAATACGTGAGACAAACTAAATGGGTGGGTACACGAAAATATATAAAGTGGTACAGGTCCTAACACGATTGGTAATGATCAAACTCAACCTGGTACAGGTGCCTATCTACTAAGCTGTGAGCTACACTGATTGTGTGAGATGGGTTACGACACTACCCGGTTGCCCGATAGTTAAACACTTATCATATGTGCATGCAGATGTGACGAATAACTGCCAAGAACGCACACTGTACTGAGTCAATGTTAAAATCTGTACACATTTTAGATGTTTAGGGAAGATCAGCTAAAAAACCCTTCGATTGTAGATTATGGGCAAAAGAATATCTATTAACTCAACAAATATCCGCTTTCCTATCAGATATAAAAATGTATCCTGCGGAAAAGAACCGTCATTTCTAGGAAATTTGAACGGTTTAATCTGGGGCTTGTGGAGATTTATTAATTGATTTCAGGTTGGAATTCATCATGGAATGACATAGGTTGAAGGAGCACTGGACAGCTGTTCCGTTCTAGTATGAGGCCCCTCAGCAGCGCGCACCCACGACCCCACCAGGGATCAAACCCAGGACCTTAAAGTTCCGCGGCCAACACGTTACTATTGAACCACTGGGTTCCAGTCGTTGAGTAAATGTCCTCATGCTTGACTTGGTTCATCACGACTTCTTATTGGAACTTCGGCTATCAGCTCTTAAAGCTAGTCACCAATGAGAGCGACTAAGTGGCTCAACGGTAACGTGCTGGCCACGGAACCTTAAGGTCCTGGGTTCGATATCTGGTGGGGTCGTAGGCGCCCAATGCTGAGGAGTCCCATACTAGGACGAAACAGCTGTCCAGTGCTCCCTGGTTTTCAATGTTTCTCCAACTGACGTCAATCCATGATGAGTTCCAACCTAGAATCAAATTGATTGGTTATTAAAAAAGCGTTATCAGCAGCCAGTATTGCAGTGAGCAGATGATGTTCAAGGACCACTCATTCACATCACAGTTAGACAAAACTCTGGATAACTGAAGTAAAATTGTCAACTGGTTACCACCTGGGTCTTGTAGTTCGGTCACATAGTTACAGAGCTGCTAGTCAGTAGGCTCTTGATTCAAACCTTGTTGCAATTAAGGTTTCCATTAAACTTCAGTCATTACTTCCAGGAAAACAGAATACACAAGCAACTATCATATAATACTCACGAGGAATGCACGTTTCTTCCACTTTCGAAGTTCCGTTCTAGTCATATGCAGAGTAGGTTCTTTCAAGTTTAATTGTCCTGACTTTTCAACTTCTTGTACTGTATCTAACCATTCCCTTTATAAAAAAGTAACAAAATATTTACGCATAATAATAACTTTTGGAAAAAACATCGGACAGTAACATTTAGGAAGAATAAGACTTGTCTCAAGGGCACTTCTAATTAAAAATTAAGGACTATCGAATGATTGGTATAAAAGATTTTACCCCGTGCTGGAACTTGTTGGTAAGTTATTTATATGTCAAACAAATTTAAAACAATGTGAATCAACAGTTCAGTGTCACCTAATGAACTTGGCTGCGAGATGCACATATTGTGAGATAAACAGACCCAGTGAAACTATATGACAGCTAAAAACTGGATATTTGAACCAAAGTTCAAACATGCAACCCACTGCTTCAAAGTCGAATGGCTAACTGGTGAACCACAGCTTTGCTGACCCACAAAAGTAAACGAAAGGATATATATTTGTATAGAAGTCATTCCGATGTGTTTAGTTTACATAAATTTTGCAGTAATTACAAAACAATGGAAACGAGTAAAAATAGGTAATCGACTCAGAAACCGGTCACAATACCACCTATTTGACTACTGAAAACTGAAATAAAGTGAATTTCAAGTTACAACAATTAGCCACAACTATTCCATAGTGGATCGTCGAAAGTATCGTTTAGCAATTAGACCGTCTAGCAAGTATTCAACTGGTTAACAGTATGATATATGGTGACTAAATATAACGGAAAACACAAATTGCAACCAAATTAAAACCACCAGTACAAATATTACTATTCTACTAGCAAGAAGCAACGGGGTTAAACGAGAGTAATATGGAACATATAGCCACTGGGTTTCTCAGTAATGAACTCTTCACCCTCCTTATGGATGACATGGAAAAAATACGACGGCACTAAATAAAACTCGGTAGCATAGTCTTTTATCTGCTGACCATCACAAATCAACGTGAGCTGTTACTAGTTACCCAAGTAGAGCAACTGAACCTACAGTTACTCATAGATATGCAAACCAAGTAGTGATTTGATAATTTGAAGAATATGGACATCGGTTAAACGATATTCATTATTTTAGTATTTGTATTTCCCAATGAAGGTAAAACTTAAGCCTGGTTGTGATATCGAGTCCACTAGTGGACATCCTTCAAGATGGATTTCTAGAAGTTATGAAGAAAAGCCTGAAGCAGACTACTTAAATTGGGAGTAAGGACGATGATCAACGATAGCAGTGGGTGATGGTCATTCTATATTGCGAACTGCCGGAAGTGAAAAAAACTGGGCAAATGAACTTCAATACAGTAGCGAATGGCAAACTCAGTCCCCACCAACATTAGAACTAACATTCCTGCATATCAAGCGAGAATGAAATAAGGTAAAAGATAAACAAATAAAGGAAGTAATCAGAAGTGGAAGAAATTCATAAAAAGAGAACAAGAAGGAAGGAAACGGTAATCAAATTTTGCATGACCACTGAGGAGAAAATGATGCTTCGATGCATCTACGCAACTGACATCGAATCTGGACCACAGCATCCAATTTCCAACCACCGATATCTGTTTCTGCTTAAACCTGACAAGGAAGTTTATGTTTACCTGAAACAGCTCAAACAACCAACAATCAAAGACATCATGCACCGATGCCACGTTTTAGTCTGGCAACCCTAACCTTTCTTCAACCTAGACCTAAATATGCCAACATTGTACATTGAGGCATGCTTAACACATATTCAAGGGACCTGAGTAGATAAAGGTTCACCACCTCATCAAGTGACTTTCTTCTCCTGCCTGGCACTCTGCACCTGACTTATACATTACTAAGTTGGTGGTAACACGATATATGGCCTATGCTAAGAAGGCAACTACTTGAGAACCTGCAGCCCGCTCATGTTTTCCATCCCTAATAGTTATGTTTCACAGTCGTTTAGTACAATTGAGCGAACTGTTTGAAGGGCACTAGGTTCATAATACGCAGTTGAATATCGCACTGATCACATGGCTAATTTGGTGAACGACAAGGCAGGGTTTTTCATGCATGTAGCGGTTTTTTCATCATTGATTTGAAGTTGAGAAGACTACAACTGATAACAGGGAGATCGTCGCTCAATAAGTCAGATCATTTTAAAACACCAGTTTTGGTGGCTTAGACATTTGTTACACATGCTACATCCCAGCAAAATCTCACTATTCGCTTATCTGGATACATGTTAAAAAAGAGTGGATAGCGTGTGTTGTGGAGTTACAGGAGGGAACACAAATCAGTTTACTTGAAATCGGCGGAGACCCTTCGATTCTCTAGACGCCATCCAAGGCATCACGCAATTCAATGATTTCGAAAAATGGCAGGTATCGCTCAGAATCGAAATCATCCATTTCTCGAACCTGGCTGTTTTTCTTGTGTTTGCTGTCCTTGAGCTCCACTCAGTTATCGGACAACTCTGGAATCTGGGATTTAGATACGATGTTAGTAAACGGTTCCATGCGGTTTTTGTAGAAAGACGTCTCCTTTCTCGAAAATGAAAAAGAGAGTGACTTAGACGAATATGATTGGAATACTTTTGATTCTCATGAAGTAGCTAGTATTTCAGCTACTCTACTAAGCACTACTAAGCACCTTTATTCTTAAGCACATCTGGTGGCAAACCGTCAGGTCCTGCCACTTTGCCTCCCCTCGAACTACATGATGAGATACTTATGTTCTTAAGTGTTTGTTTCCACACTGAGATCTCTATAAGTTCACATTCCACGCCACAGTACGGATGCGTTTGGTGCTAGTTTCCGAAGAGCTTTAGCGTACTGGTGGTAGGTAGGCAAGTGTTTTCAAATATGACAAAATATGCATGAGGAATGGTAATCCTTATTCAAATTTATGGCCTACTACCTGCAGGTAATTTCGTTCACTTGGAGTATGAAGACAATATTGTCCTGCTGAGTGAAGACACAGACAAAATCACGGTCTTCTGAACAAGTCGAACAGAAATCTGAGTGTTTGGCATATGATATACACCTGTCAAATGTATGATGATGCTCCAGGACTAGTCTACAACCAATCCAAACTTGAGGATTGGGTGTTAAGTGATGGAATACATCGACCGCTTCACTTACTTGGAGATTGCATTAGCCCGAACGGGGTGGTTGCTGACGAAATCTCAGTTCGGATACAGAAGGACCGTTTAATATTTCCAACTTGCGTCACCTGTGGCGCCGCTTGGCGAGATATCCAACTACCTACCAAAGAACGAGTATACCGTGCTGCAGTCCGTTCTGTTGTTATACGATTGTGAAACTTGACTGTTAAAAGTAGGAGATATGAAGCAGTTACAGGATTTTGACCACGCATGTCTTCGTAGTATTTACTCACGTTTAGTGGAATTAATGTGTGAGCAATATTGACGTCAGAAGGAGGGTACTAGGCAAGACAGACTAGTCGATTGATGAGGTTGTGAACCTTAGTTGATTGAAGTGACTTGGACATATGTTGCACATGCTGAGCAAGCCAGTGCCTACATCAGCGTGCCATGCAAGGGGGAAGCTGGATTAAGTTGGAAGACAGTTGGGGGTAGCCAGACAAGCATGTGGCACCGGGCCATGAAACCTCTTACTGTTGGTCTGAGTCGTTTGGGGATATGTAGACTACCTGGCTGGGGTCTCCGAGACGACAGGAATCAGTGGTTAGGGACTGTAGATGACATGGGGGAAAATCAGTCATAATCGCACAGACCCATTAATCTTCGACGTCTTCTTAAGCTTGACTACTTGCACCAACCGTTTTCTTCAAATTGTTTAATCTCTCACACAACTTTTTTGACTTTGATATCACTCCTTTTCTATGCACCTGTTCTTTGTGTACTTCTGTGGCAACCTTAGTCGACGCACTCCTATGCGAGATTCTACGTTGATTTTGTCAGTCAGATCAGATAATGAGGATCGTCTTCTGCAGCTCTGCACAGATCAAAACTTATTTCTAACTAGCACCAACTCTCGGCACTTCCTGCACTATCATCCTTCTACTTGGCGTCCTTCCTCTCCTATTCACACTTAGACTCAAATATTACAATCAGCTACCGATGGCGTGGGAGCATAAAGGACTGTCGCTCTATATGGAGTAATGTTTGAACTCTGATCATGCCTTACTGTGAGCTAAGCTTGTCTTGCGTTTTGGTGGTCATCAAAACCGTCATCCTAAATGAGTCGATGCAACCAAACTAGTTGCACTTGACATTGCAGATAAATACCAATCCAACCGAGATTCAAGGCTAGGTGCCGATCCTCCAGAAAGTATAGATGAATATTGGCTCAACTTGCAAGACACCGTGAAAATGGCGAGTAAGGCCGCTTGTGGCCAATAAATAGTGGGTCTCTGAGAGCTCCTTGCAACTTCTTGACGCCTGTCATATCACCACGCAGATTGCTAATTCGATGGTTTGTATCTCTTACGCGAATGATGACACAACGCTTACGCAAGGACCACGGGGCTTGATGGTCAAAACACGCGAGTGAGATGAAAGCAGAAGCTGCATCTGGAAATAGTCGAAAGCTGTTCCACCTCATCCGAGCCACTGGCAACAAGAAGCCTGGTGTCAGTGAGACGGTATGTGAGGTAGATAGTGCGCCAACAAACAATCTTCAAAGACGCCTAGAACCCGGAAGAGGCCCTTTAAAAACATTTTAGCTGGTCCATTGCTCTAGTATTTTCAGTTTCAGTGTATCCGGCTTCATGGTCAGTTAACAGTGACCCACCTGACAAAGCGGAGGTTCATAAAGAACTCCAAGTTCTGAAACGCCACAAGGTACCCGGTCAAGAAGACTCACCCCAAGCTCCCTTTAAGGATAGAGGAACCACTCTTGTCAGTAAACTGACTTAACTGTTAAAGAAGGTATATCAGACCGAGAGTGTTCCCTATCACTCTAGAATGAGGCCACTACTTTGCCCATCTCTAAAAAGGGTCTGCGAAATGCATGCGACGATCATCAGGATATTGGTCTATTACCAGTCATATCAAAAGCAATAGCTGCTACCATACTTCGCAGACTTTATGAAACGTGTGAGAAAATGATTGGCGAGGAGCTGCCGGGTTTCGTTCAGGTCGTGGATGCAGCGGTAATTTATTTACCCTCCGCTAGATGCTTGAATATAGCCACACGTATTCCAGGCCAATAATCGTTGTTTCTTGACATTAGGTTTGCCTTCGGTTCGTTGAACGGAGCTATACTCCGAAATTTTCTGTTGGAGAGGAGCGTAATTGAGAAATTTCTTGACATCCTGAAAGCCCTATGTAGTAATACTTCAGATAGAATGAGGACACACAACCACCTGTCTCCTTTGTTTCAAACAAGCAGTGGGTTGCCCGATTTCTTCATTCCTCTTTAGCTTTACCATCGACGACATTCTAGATACAGCCCTGAAGAAGGTGCATGATGATGGTGTAGACACACTACCCGGAGAACGGCTATCCAACCCTGAATATGCGAACGATATCGTCTTATGCGCGATTTCATACAGGTTACTCAAATCCCACTTAATCCGTTGGCGATTATTGTCCGTAAGTATGGTATGTGCTATGCACCATTGAAGTATAAAGTACTTTCACAAGATACGACAGCGCGTGTTTGGGCAATACGGAGATCTTCATCCAATAAGTAAAGTTATCTGGAAACACCGGCTTCCGTGGCCTGGACATGTGTTGCGCTTGCCGTCCCAACGACTTCCATACCGTTGCATGGAAGAAGCGGAGGGGTGGTCAGTGTATGACGTGGCCCAAGGCGGCCAGACTAAAACATGGCACTAATGTACGAAGCCTCTGACTGCTGGTTTGGGCCACGTGGGGCGATATGGATTAGCCGGTTGGGGTCCACGGGACAAGAGAAACCAGTGTTTGGAGACTGTAGGTGATATGTCTGAGGACCGTTGTCAGTTGCGCAGATGTATACACATATTATCCTTATCTTAACACTTTATTGAATCCCACCATTTTCTCTATCTTTCTCTCTTTTAGTACTTTATATTTCTTTTGACTGAATTTTCTTATCTTCATTCTGCATGTCACTGCCTTTTTACTTGATGTACTGATATGAGCTGTGGCAACTCTGACCGTAATGCCTGGTCCCATGTTGGATTGGATGATGATGATGATGTATGACATGGCGAAGTGGGATGAAAGATAGTTGTATCGGGTTGACACCTGTTGGGTGCATCACGACTACCTGGATGGGGTTTCAGAGATCACGCAACTCAGTGGCTTGAGACGTCATCAGATATGGCTGAGAATCGAAACCAGTGGCGGTTAGTAGCTTCCTTCTATCTTCTGCTGCTGAAAAGTGATGGATGTTTTGTTTGTAATGTATCTTACTGGACTACCCTTCTAATCATTCTATTCTTAACGTGTTTTGTTTTTATCCACTTTGCTTTATGCCTTCATAATGTTGTTATATCATTTCGTATGGTGCATTTCTTGGTGATCTTTTTGTACCATATTTGTGTTCTAATAATAATGATAATAATAATGATAATGATAATAATAATAATAGTAATTGTATGCCATCGAAATGTGAATAATTTTCCTAGTCAGGACTTTGCTGGTACTGTGCTTACCATTAGGGTGTGAATTTATTGAGCGCATCGGCCACTTCACTTATCTAGGAAGTCAGATCAGCCTTGGATGGATCAACAAGTGATAAGAAAGGGTTTATCGCTTCTCCAAGTTTCCCCATTCACGGCGACGCCATGATATCCGATTGCCTATTAAGCTCTGAGTGTGATGCCCTGCACTCTGTTCTACCAAATGGCTGTGATGCATATCCACTAAGAGTAGAGAATACTAGGAGACTTCGGCGTTTGGCTACAGTTGACTTCGTAGGACAGGTCATGTGTTTGGGTGCCGTCAAACGGTAAAGTGGAATTCAGGAGTAAATTTTTGAGCATGAGACGAAAGTTAGTTGACGAGGTTGTTACGGCACACAATACTGTCATGTCCTATGCTGACATTGATTAAGTGACTTTAAAAGAGTTTTAACTACTCTAATCGATCTCTATTTCTTTTGTGAGGAGTAGCAGAGTTTTTCACATTTAGAACAGGTCATGAATCATTACTTTTTATCAAGTGAGTTGTCGATTCAATAAACGAATATTCAGTTACAAATCCTCCAACTACATAGCTGTGTTGGTTCAGAGCATTTTTAACTTGCTCTTTCTTCTGTGCTGCTGTGTTATGCCATGCATGGTCATCGTCACGCTACTTATAGGTGCCCATTCTTGTTAGCGTCTAGCAGTCATAATTTACCTATCTTTTGTATCTCGACTTTTCAATGACTACTTTGACCTAAGTGTTCGAACTCTAAATAATTGCAAGGCATCTAGTAATTCAATTTATCTTGCATAGTAGGTTCTAAATAACGCCCCAACCAACAATCTGTCTCAGAAAGAGCGTACATACTTAAGATACCATGATGGTCACAGTCTTTCAGTAACAGAAACTCAAGCCAATGCAGGTCTCTGTACCGAACTATACGCCGAAATTATCGTGTGGAAGCTTGCGCAAATAAATACTTGCCCAAACAAAGTGGAGAGGAAATACGAACCATGAGACAACTCCTCCAAGTCAACCTTTATCGGCTTGATTGTGACAATCCGCGTTTCTTAGATCCCTTCCTCATATAGCAACAACCTGCAGATCATGAATTATCACTTCTTCGTACTGTGTGGCTATCATCATGCGCATCACAGGCATTTAATTCATCAGTGTTTACCATCTTTCACTCAAAAAATCAACTAAACACCTAGACCAATTCACTAAGCTAATTACTACTCAGATCCTTACTTCTATATGTACCATAACCTCCTACAGAATTCCTGTTTCGTCGGCTAGCTTTCTCGTTCATTCACTGATCATTTTCACAAAGAAACGTGCATACTCAAAATCAGATATACACTTCACGTCATCCCACCTTGACAGATTAAGCGAGTTTAATGAATTATATTCGAAACAGTACACAATCTATAACATCATCTATGCGCGGGTACCCATTACAGATTGGATTGGATATCCAACAAACAAGGCAACATACAATGAAGATTAAACCAACTCAAATATGTTCATTGCGATAACCTTACCCATAAAGATGATGATGAAATTAACAATATATACATCAACTTGTCTTACCGATCGTTCGAAGCATTTTCAGCATCTTTCGATTTTCCACCAAGTCTCGATCGCAACAAGTAAAATATTGAAGCGGAACGCCTAACAACTGGCACCATTAGTTCCGTTGTCTGCAGTCTGTTCGAGTGAGTTGATACACGGCGTAAGAATGTGAATACACACAATTTATGCATGAGTTCTATACGAGCCATTTCAAAGTTAGTCTTGATGTAGGACCACGAAGAATCTTAAATAATTCTTAATGAAGAAAATAAATGAACAACCGAGAACCATTTTATATATGAACATAACATTTAGCGAAACATCCTTTCACTGACTCGTTTACATTCAACCGTATCTCTCCGGGATAATTTTTCTTCTTTGATGACAGTGGAGCTTCAAGCTCGACTGTTGCACAAAATTAACACCAACTGCCTCTCCTTTCATCGCTATACATGTAGTAAACACTTCCAAACCTTCACTCTGCTCACACCAACATTAGCATTCGAAGTAGGTAATTGAGAAGTAGACTGAAAAGTGACCTATTTAATCGACCAGTAAATAACTACACTCTCTACCGATAACCTCATCTATAATGTCTACTTCGCAAAACTATGAAACGATTTACAGACTGGTTGCAATAGATGACTAGATAGCCATTTATTATTATCGAACCATCATGTGAAAGATGTTGACGTCCTGCGAAGAGGACTAGGCAAGACAAGCGATGAGGTCGTGAAGTTACAGTGACTGAGATGGCTTGAATATGTGTTGCGCATTCTGAAACATCATTGACTTCGAAGTGCAATGCTAGAGGTTGAATAAGGTTGGAAGAAGGCTGTATGATCAGACTAAGAAGTACCACACCTTTATGAGCCATGTGGGGACCTGTAGACCACCTAGCTGTGGTCCTCTAGATTATACGAAGTAGTGGCCCAAACTTATCCACTCTTCGACGTCTACTAAAAAGCTTGGATATTTCCACTAACCTTCATTTTAAAACTCCGTTTTCTCCCTCGCAATTCTGTCTACTCTGATAATAGTCCTTTTCTTTCCATCTTTTCTCTTCATCCCACCGTTGAGTATGGTAGCTTTAGGCGATGCACTTGTATGTGAGGTTCTACTTTGATTTTTTTCTATCCGCCTACATTGCTACAAGCTATTGTTGAAGAGGATTGGTGCAGGATAAGCACGTCTCCTGGAGTGATTGTTTGGAGTCCAATCACGCGTCAGTGTGGGTACGTGTGTTTGTACCATAAGTCACAGGAAACAGCTGTGTAAACTACGTGTGCTCGAATGGAAGATGAGAGTACCAAGTGCGTATTTAGAGAGAGAGAATGTGTGTGTCCGAAAGTCACACCAATTCTTACGGTGATGATATCCGACGTGATACACAGTCTGTTGTAGAAAGTGATAAAGACAGTTGGTCACCTATATTTAAAATTCATCAAAAGTCAGTAGATTTTTAGAACCTCACACGAACTGATTGGTGCGAGCGTAGTTCCAGCTGGATCGGACCATAATGGAGAGAAAGCAACTTAAACGTATATTGACTACAAGTATCTGAAACGATGGCAAGCAGTGGTGGATGTCGAAACCTAGAGAGACAGCACCACCATTCGGTAGCGTTCTGCAATGGTTCAGGTTTATCGGGCATACTAGCCACAAGAAGACGACAGTTAGTAAGACTACCGAAAACGACGAAATGATGACAGCCTCTCAGGAGAGACAGGCGGAACTTTCGGCGGAGCAATTTGAAGACAGTAAAACTGGTCTCCAGCCACGCCTGTTTCCCAGAGTTCAGCCTGAACCTGAATGCGACGTAAATGCCCGTCCACCAAGTCTCGTCAACACTGACTAGGCCGTTCCTAACCTGGAAGGTCGCTATCCAGCAGGACCTGATGGTTTACCACCAGAAGATTCCAGGGAAATGGGCAGGAAATTACCAAAATTTAAGAGGGAAGTAGTTAGTGTATTGCAACCAGAGGTCTATACCAATAAACAAGTTTAAGACTGCTGGGCTGAGCTCCTCAAGGTTAGTAACTCGGCAAAACACCAGCCACAATGGTGTAGATGTATTCACTTTCTGACGTCTTCTAAAGCTTGAATATTTTCCCTTGCCCTGATTCTCATTAAGTCCTTTTCCTTCGATACATCCTTGTTAACTTTGACATCCACTTTTCTACCTAAATGTTATTTTCATACTGCTATGAACTGTGGTATTTTGAATGGATGCACTTGTGTGCGAAGTCATACATTGGTTTTCTGTCCGTTGTCTGACATATATACGCATATAACTTTCGAGTGAACTCGGAAAAAGATTATTTGCATCACACAAGCTGTGCTCAAGTAGACTGAGAAAAACTGAACTAGGAAAACCTTTTGCTTCCTAAATTAACCTTTTCTAACTGTAACATCCCTCTGATTAATAACGTTATTCGTGTAATAGCTAATAGTTTATTATTTTCAACCAGACATTTACGACATTCATTCACTATTTGCAGCTTCATTTGTATTTCTACAATGCTTCATAGGACCCTTGTTATGCATACAAGATCTAGGATAACTTGACAACAAGAATCAAACATGAGAGGTGAGTGGTTCAAACTCGGTTGTTGATACAAATCTCCTGGCATCGGTTGACATACGACTTATGAGCATATGGTAATTACCAACAGAAAATGAACTGATTGTATTAAAATATTTCGATACGTTCATGTAACAACTACAGTTTACTACTGTACCAACACCAAAATAATCCCCTAATTATACATTACGACACAGAAGAGCAAATAGAGAGTTGGATGATGTATGCAGATTTTTAGTACCAGATATATTTTTTAAGCTTCAAATTATCTGCATGCCTGCGGTAGATATGGTCATAACTCTAAAATGTGCATGGTTAGTTCAATGGTCTGCAAGCATGTAGCTGACATTCAGAAAAAGAAAGACTAGATATGAAAAGACACCTATACTCCTGACTAGCCATTTTCACCCTTAAACTTCTAGCACTGCAGTCTTCATCTTAGGTCTTTGGAATCCCATACGCCTAAGAACATAAAAATGATCGTTTGAAACAAAGTTTTACTAAGGGAAAGTGAGACCAGATGAAAGGAAATTGAAAGCACTATGGGCAGACGAGTAGGGAAACGCAAACACTCGGCCAGACAGTTGACAGGAAAACTGCAGCATCACACAGCATTATTTCAGGATTTTTATTTGCCTCTCTGCCTTGACGTATATTCTCACACGTCTTGTTGTAAGTGTTGATCGGGCACGAGGCCATTTCAGCCATTTGACCGAGTTTACGTCAGAGCGGCAAACGTATGCAGAGACAAATGAGAACTGAGACTAATCTGAGGGAAATGAGACACACAAAAAATGAATTGTGTGGGGTCCAGTGTCCTGAAAACCCTAACCAGTAACCTGCTAAGATCACGGTTCTATGGTCATACATAAGTCAGGAACCAACAATGTTTCTCAATAAGGTATACCAAGTCGATTGAATAATATTTCTCGCCGCAAAAATATTGTCGAAAATCAAACCTATCTTTGAAAGTTCCACCTGAGGAAAGAACCTAGCCAAGTATCAGTTTGGATGAACTGTGAAAACTTCTAGGGACGCCCCAAATGCAATTCAAATGTAATCAGGAACTTTGAGGAACCTCCTCAACTTCTTCATCACTTTTTGATGCAACTTGCAATTACGCAGATGCATCCTACTACAAAAAAAAGAGTGTTACGTCAACAAATTACGGCCAGCATTGTTTGGCGCACTTTAGGAACTTCCGGCATCCCTCCGAGGTAAACACATTTCTTTTATTCGAGAACCTTAATCGCCCAAATCACCCGTTATTTTCAGCTTAACTTGCATTGTGAGGGTTTTCAAGTATCCAAACGCACCCTATTGCGATAAAAATGCCTCACGGAAGAATATTATGGAATGCATTCTTATAAGTGGACGTGGAGTAATTCCTTATAAACTTTGGTGCATTGCTAAGACATTGGAAACTTAAAGACTTTTGGGTATATAAGATGACTTCAAGGGGACTTCGGGTGCACCAAGAAACCTTCACTGATCTCATGGCGGAACCTTGAACTTTCAATCAAACTTTTGCACACATTTAAATGCTCCATCGTAATTTCTTATTATTATTTCCAAAGTAATCGAAGTGCACTCGAAGCGAGTGCCGTCTGGGAAGTGTGATTTTACATCTGAGTTAAAATAGTATATTTCTGATCCGCATGTCTATATTAATGGTTGAATCTATCACAGCAGTAATTATGTTTGCAGTTATAGATACTAAACCAAAATACAGAAACTGGTGCAGCAACAATCTAACGAGACTTAAGACCCACAAGCCAAAACAGTACCGCACAAAACAAATCCACCGCATCGACGTCCAATATCTGTTAGACGAATATAACAAACCAACTATTCTTTAGCTTTCCCATTCAAATGGTTATAAATAGTTCGTGGTCAAAAACTAACGCATTAGGCCCACTTACTTTCATTTCTAAGAGCAATGAAGCAAGCTCCGTGAAACTTAGTGTTGTGGTAGGAATTGAGAATGATGTAGCCTTGAATTCTGTCTCTCCATGCAGATATATGTCTTTTGTTCTGAATTTCTGTGGTCCTTTTCTGGGCTCTGAAAGCCTGAGGAAGATGAGATGGCACTTCATCGATGAATAGCCTCTTTATGGGTAGAGCTTTTACCCACTGTCCTTTAGACGATCGGTGACTTCTTGCGCGCAGTCCACCAGTACCACAGTAACCTCGAAATGTATTGCACTCCTTTTGGACGTATCAGAAGAAGGAGCTGATCACTTTTTTTATTAAGTCAGTTCCACGATTTACGTTCTCTAAACTCAAATGACTTAACGCCGGTCATCGTGCGAGTTCCGTAATGCTCAACCCCTAAACGATGCAATGTTAGGTGAGGTTTCCGATTAGGGCTTAACAGCAGCCAGCTAGAGTGCTAGGAACTGCAGGTGGAACAACACGCAAATGGCATGGTAGAGCGTTTCCATCGACAGCTGAAAGCCTCCCTATCAGCTGCAAACATACCTCAGTGGGCCGAGGCTCTGCCTCCAGTCCTACTAGGTATTCGTACCGCGTTGAAAGTAGATGCTGGATACAACTCTGCAGAACTCATCCGTGGATCCACTCATTGCCTACCAGGTAAATTTTTGGGGCACCGTTTTTCTTATTTACCGGTAGTGCGCAAATCCTCGTACATTTTGCTTTTTTATGCCAATTTTTACTACCATGTAATGAAACATTTCTGTAAAAAGAGGGAAATAAGCGTGAACTTAATTTCGATGTATTTACATATAAATAATTTCCAATTTTACAAAACGCCTTCGCAATAATAAAGACTTTTATTTACATTCCAGGTGCAACGAGCACTGGACGGAACGTCAAAGGAAACTGAGGACCACGATAGACGTACAATTCGATTTATTGAGTTTTATTTTTCATTTGCCACGACAGCCTAGAACAAGTTCGAACAACCACGGGCTATTTCTCTGAATGAGCCCATTGAAAGAAATCCATCGGAGAAACCACAGGGTTCTCACCCCCGTTTGGTATCTTCTTATGGTCCTCACGAACCCACTATGAGAGGGGTGATCTGTAGCGTCACAACTTCCCCAAAATCAATAGCCTGGGGCTCGACGGCACTCAGCATTGATGCTGACCTTAGTAGTTGGACTGGACTCGCTAAGCTGAATGCATTCAAGCAAGCTTCCTCGATATTTGGCACGCTGTCGTGTTATGTTGCACTACTCGTAATCGACTCTCCAGCCAGTTAGTTGGAACACATCGGTATCTTGGCACAACCACTCAAATATACTATTCCGTCCGGATACACTGTAGTGACCTTTCACGGTCTCATATTCGTGGGCATATAACAAGTCCGAATAATTAGTGATTGGTCTTTGCGCCTGTCAAGTTCGCAGCAGAACAATTCCTAAATAACGTACAAGAGGTCCAAGTGCCTCACGTGGATCACCTCTAAATCTTCCTCGATGATAAATTTTCGTCGTCCTACATCAAGACTAACTTTGAAATGGCTCGTATAGAACTCATGCATAAATTGTGTGTATTCACATTCTTACGCCGTGTATCAACTCACTCGAACAGACTGTAGACAACGGAACTAATGGTGCCAGTTGTTAGGCGTTCCGCTTCAATATTTTACTTGTTGCGATCGAGACTTGGTGGAAAATCGAAAGATGCTGAAAATGCTTCGAACGATCGGTAAGACAAGTTGATGTATATATTGTTAATTTCATCATCATCTTTATGGGTAAGGTTATCGCAAATGAACATATTTGAGTTGGTTTAATCTTCATTGTATGTTGCCTTGTTTGTTGGATATCCAATCCAATCTGTAATGGGTGCCCGCGCATAGATGATGTTATAGATTGTGTACTGTTTCGAACATAATTCATTAGACTCCTTTCAGGTGGTGGAGTGATATTAATCTAATAACAGCACCGACTCCTAGCCCCGTTTACAGAACGCAGTTGTGTTTCGAAATTCCAGAGTTCTGACGGAAAATTTCTCGTTATCCTCTTCCTCATAGGGTTCGGACTTTCTGTCCGACACTGCAGTTGGTGTATCGAATTTTATCCAGCTAGCAGTGAGGAACTGACTACCCTTCAGTCGCCAGCGTCCAGCCTGAACCTGAATGCGACGTAAATGCCCGTCCACCAAGTCTCGTCAACACTGACTAGGCCGTTCCTAACCTGGAAGGTCGCTATCCAGCAGGACCTGATGGTTTACCACCAGAAGATTCCAGGGAAATGGGCAGGAAATTACCAAAATTTAAGAGGGAAGTAGTTAGTGTATTGCAACCAGAGGTCTATACCAATAAACAAGTTTAAGACTGCTGGGCTGAGCTCCTCAAGGTTAGTAACTCGGCAAAACACCAGCCACAATGGTGTAGATGTATTCACTTTCTGACGTCTTCTAAAGCTTGAATATTTTCCCTTGCCCTGATTCTCATTAAGTCCTTTTCCTTCGATACATTCTTGTTAACTTTGACATCCACTTTTCTACCTAAATGTTATTTTCATACCTCTGTGCGCTATGTGGCCAGAGATATTGTTCTTATACCACTAAATTTCTGATTCGATATTGATCTTGTTAGTATCCTAGCGCTCGTAGTTAAAGATTTCAATGTGCGGTTTCTTCCTTACGCCTTGTGCTTCATGTCATGTGTACTTTTATGCGTTTCTCGCCTCCCAGATGCAGATTGTTGCTGCCTATGAGGTTTTTTCTGGTACATTGTCTACCAGCAGTTTGTGAATATTTTGATCGTTTTGATTTCTTCACCCACTGAGAGGCCAGATGGACCTTAGTGTGTCACCAATCGAGTAAATCTATTCACGGATAAAAATTTCCCACTGATCTTTCTCCAAATTATCCATGTATGAGGCTTGCGTGATATTCAGTTATTTATAATGAACTGGGTGTTCTGCAAAGCGTTTCGCTCTGTCGGGCCCAACATCTGGGAAACATAACTATTAGGGATGGAAAACATGAGCGGGCTGCAGGTTCTCAGGTAGTTGCCTTCTTAGCATAGGCCATATATCGTGTTACCACCAACTTAGTAATGTATAAGTCAGGTGCAGAGTGCCAGGCAGGAGAAGAAAGTCACTTGATGAGGTGGTGAATCTTTATCTACTCAGGTCCCTTAGATATTTGTTACGCATGCCTCGAAGTTGGCACGTGACGAGACTAATGTATGGCATCAGTGTATAAAATCTCCGACTGTTCGTGTTAGCGGTTTTCCATTTTAGGTGTTTCTTGTCGGCAGAATCTAGTTCTCTATTCTCTGGTTGACTGGAGCTGACCTCAATGTGCATTTTTCTTGCAATACTTTTTGTCCGTATATTCTTTCTGATTTTTGTGTTTTCGTATTGTCCCGCTTTTAAGTGCCATGTTTTTGATCTGTTTCTTCTTCTTTCCTTCTTTATGCTTCATTTTCGTTCCACTGTATGGTATTTCGTAATTCGACTTTTACTCAGCGAACCTCGGTCTTTTTTATGTGTCTTCTCTCCCGCTACGCGGACGCGCCAACAGCTTGTTAGGATTACAGTCTTGCTTCTTTCTAACAAGAGATGTTCTTTTAGACATGCTGCGTTCTCCCGAATATCATAAGCATGCTTCTCTCAACTGTTAGGCATGCAGAACTGATTTGTGGTGCCAGCTGTTACTGACCATTTTTTAATATGTCTAAAGATTCGCATAAGATTACTGTCAAGCAAAAACCTGAACAAGCAGTGTTCTTTTCTATAGGTTCCCATCAGATTTTGTAACTATAAAATGCGTATGCTCAACAGAAAATCGGGCCAAGCTACCCACTCGCAAATGTAGGAAAATCCCGGCGACCGCTCATGACTCGATCTTTGACCCAGACGTTGAACTACTATAGCAAAATTCGCTACTACACACAAAACTTCTTCTGGATCCCAAAATGTACATGAAGCGGTCTTGCAGAAGGGGGCATCACCAGTTGCTGTTCCCATAAACTGAATACCGGAGGATTTTCTAAATAAGGAAATCCTGAGTCTAAAGTACTGGGGTCACATAAAGGTACTCTTTTAAGGATTCGAACAAAAAACAATTAGAACCAAACTGCCGGATGTAACTTGGTTTTCGTTGGCCCCAAAAGCGAATTCAGCCGCAAAATTTCGTAACAGACCGAAAATACATAAAATAGACATCCCGCTCAGACCAGTTGTGGACTCCATTAATTCGATGACATATCTTCTATCAAAATATTTATCAAAACCATTAAAACCACTGCGCCTGATATTACTTCTTACATTAGAATCTCTGAAGAATTCAAGAATAAACTAATGAGCAACACGATAAGAGAAGATGAAATTATGGCAAGTTCTGACGTAATTTCTCCTCATACCAGTATTTCTGTGCTTGATGCACTTAATACTGTAAAATGTTCACTTGATAACGATCAAATGGATTTCCATTATCATCAGGTGACACTATGAAACGCTTTAAGTTATGATTAGAGCCAACATATTTTACGTTCAGGGATGTTATACCGTCACACTAATGGCGTTGCAACGGGCATCCCGGCATCTCCGATTGTAGCTGGTTTATATATGAAAGCATTCGAAGAAAGAGCTTCAAACAATTTTCATCGTCAGCCTAAGCTTTTGTATAGGTTGGTAGATGATAACTGTGCGATCATCAAGAAGACACAACTTGAAAGCTTTTTACAACATATAAACTCGATATCAGACTTCATAAAATCTACTAATGAAAATGAATCGAGTGCAGGAACGTTGAATTTTCTAGGCTGTCTTATTCAAGGAACATCCGAAGGTGAATTTACAGAAAAACTACGCATTCTGATAAATA